GGGAAAGAGCACATCAGGCAGAGGAAGCATCATGTGCGAAGGCTCAGAGAAGGTAGGGGGGAGGTGTGCTCAGACATGAGAAAGGTCAGATTGAGCAAAACGGGGTAATGGGAAGGTGACAGTGGAGACAGAGGTAAGGTCTGTCATGAAGGGCTTCCTACTCCATACTCAAGGCTGCCGATCTGAGTGTGAGAAGAGTGGGTACCACTGAAGGGGGAGGCGGGGCATGATCAGATCTGAATTTGGGAACAATCTCCTGACAACAGTATGGACCACGTATTGGAGGGAATGAGAGATGGTGATGGGCCGGACCATGGTAGGGAAGACAGAAAGAAGTGGATGGATTCTAGTAGAGTTGGCAGGTTTTGGTGACTGATTGATGGGGGAAGAGGGAAGACTTGCGGTTGACTTCCGGGCTTCTGGTCTAGGTGATGAGTGGTTGGTGGTGCCAAGCATTGAGATGAGGAAAGCAAGGAGGGGACCAGGTTTGGGGGTGGAGAGAATGCTGGGAATTCAGCCTTGGGCATGATGAGTTTGAGTGACTATTAGTCAACTGGGGCAGTTAGATATATGAGTCTGGAGCTCAGGAGAAAGATTTGGGCTGGAGATAGATGTCCTTATATAACTGTCATGTTTCTGGGCACCACTTCTTCCTAAGGGCATGTAGCTCCCATTTTGTAATGGAAACCATCAGGAGACTGTCTTGAGCATCTGTCATACTTTGGCTACATACACTGTATTCATTTTTCTGTCGAGTCCAGATGGCTGGCTAGATTGCAAACTCCCTGAGGGCATGTGCCTCCCATCAGATTGTCCTCCTCCGGGGGGAGCCATCAACTCCCTCAGTCCCCAGTTGGGTCCTGCACAGAGGGGGTCCTGATCTAAGTCTGCCTCTGCCCAAAGCTGAGCTCCTTAGGGCAGAGGCTGGACCTGTGTCTTCTCCCTGTCCCTGGTCCCCGGAGGCGCTGACACATGAGACCTGCCTCAAGAGAATCTGAGAGTCAGCCCCTTCTCCTGCGCCTCTGCAGCCCAAGCCTCAGAATGCAGTCACCATTGCTGTGTCTTCCCGAGCCCTGTTCCGCATGGACGAGGAGCAACGGATCTACACGGAGCAGGGTGTGGAGGAGTACGTGCGCTACCAGCTGGAACACGAGAACGAGCCCTTCAGCCCTGGGCCGGCCTTCCCGTTCGTGAAGGTGAGGGGCAGTTCCACCACTGGCCATATGGTGCCTTCATGGGCGTTAAAGAGAAGCACTCCCATGGGTGTATGAGTAAGGAAAAGGGGTCCCCTCTGGGCAGATGCCACCACACAGGAGCATAGTTTGGCAAGTGGACAGCCATTGTGGGAAGAAGAGGCCACCCCATCCTCTAGACTAATGCAACCCCACTCCAAGTAACCAGCTTAGTGCATGGAACCTGAGCTGGATTTCGACCCCCACTCACCCTTTTAGTGCGGCACCCCTGGGCAATAATCAACGCGCACAATGGCAGAGACTAGGAGGCGACAGCCTGCGTCCACTGGCCTCACCCCGAGCCTGGCCCCGGACCTCCCCTCTCCTCCCCGTGTCGGATCCCAACTCACCCCTCCTCCCCAACCCTGGCTACCAACTCCAGGCATCAGTCCCTGGGGGTCTGAGCCCGAGGGTCCACTCTCCCATCCAGGCTCTGGAGGCTGTGAACAGACGGCTGCGGGACTTGTACCCTGAGAGCGAGGACGTCTTCGACATCGTCCTCGTGACCAACAACCACGCTCAAGTGGGTGTCCGTCTCATCAACAGCATCAACCACTATGGTGAGCATGAGGGCTTTGGCCAGGACGTGACCCCTACCGGACACCCGGGGTTGGGGTCACTCCTCTGCAGGGTGCAGGTAAACCCACTGGAAACTCGAGCTCAGAGGGGTGTTGGTAAACAGGCCCTTTCAAGAAACAAAAGAAACCCCCAAAACCCTGCTTGTGTAGCATTGCCATATTCAGGGTGTAAATATTCCCACCATGGCTGATGTCAAGCTACCAATAGTTGAACAATCTAACTGGCTCCAAAAGTCCCTGGATGTTTAACGTTCGGCTCTTGCAAGCTGGTACAAGCTGGCTCCAGCACATCGCTGCACAGGTCCCACTCCCTATGTGATTGGGCAGGGCACTTGCTGCCCCTGTGCCTCAGTTTCTGTCTCTGCAAGGGGGCTGACAGGCCTTAAAGTCTGCTGGCGGAGGCAGGTGCAGTCGTCAGAGTGAAGGGACTTTGTGTCTTAGTCCAAACTCTTGTTTGAAAGTAATAGACCCTCCAGAGCCAGCCTAAGCTGAAGAAAATGATTTTTTTTTTTTTTTTGGCTGTGCCGCATGGCATGCGGGATCTTAGTTCCCTGACCAGGGATTGAACCTGTGCCCCCTATGTGGAAGCGTGGAGTCTTAACCACTAGACTGCCAGGGAATTCCCGAAAATGATTTCTTATTAGGTTACAGGTGTGCCTCTTGGAACCACAGGGAAGGAAGTGAAATTGGGCTCACAAAGGCCTGAATCCAAGTACTGGCAATCTCTCCAGGGCTTTTTTTTCTCTCTGGACCACATGAGCCCTTATTTCTGCTTCTCTCAGCAAATCTGTTCCTTTTTTTTTTTTTTTTTTTTTTTTTTTTTTGTCTTTTTTTCTTTACTTTTTTTTTTTTTTTTTCTTCTTTTTTTCTGTCTCTTTTTCTCTTTCTACAAACTAGGTTTCTCTGCTTTTCATGAATATGGCCCAAATTGACAAGTTTACAAGTCCTTGTTCCTTGTTTTCAGCAACCAAGAGAGGCCAGTTGGCATTTTAAAATCCTAATTTCAAATTGTTAGGAGCAGGGGTGATATTCAAAATGTTTAACTACCTTGTGACATAAGTACCGAGGAATCAGGACAGACACCACTTATGGTACTGAAGCAGACTCCTGAAGGACCCCTGCTGTGCCCTTCCACTGTGGACCCTCCTGTGTGAGGGGCTGGGGTAGTGATGGGGTAACTCAGTGGGCTCAGAGCAGCAGCGATTTATCAGCAAGCAAAGTTTTACAACCTGCACAGACATAGGTACTAGGTGACTCTCAGCCCAGGCTGGGAGGGAATCTAATTGGCCCAGCTTGAGTCAGGTGCCTACCCCTATCCAGTCAGCTATGACCAGGTGGGACCATGAGCCACAAGGCTGGGACCTACTTTTGTAGTACTGTGATCCCCTGAAAGGGGATATTACTGTGAGCCAGGCAACTCCTCCAGAGTTGTGATCATCCCCATTTCATGGTCGAAGAATGGAGGATCTCAGAGAAGGGGATCGCTGGCCTAAAATCACTCAGAGAATCACTCTGCTGCCCCACCACTCAGAGCCAAGATGGCATCCATTGAACACGGAGGGACCACTCTGAGGTCCTGAGGGTTGACCCAGGCATCACCTGGGTACTCTCTACCTCCTCTCCAGACCTGTCCATTGAGAGGTTCTGCATGACAGGCGGGAACAGCCCCATCTGCTACCTCAAGGCCTATCACACCAATCTCTATTTGTCGGCTGATGCAGAAAAAGTGCAGGAAGCCATCGATGAAGGTGAGTCAAACTGGGGAAGGAGAGTGTGGGGAATCTGGCTAAGGGATCTCAGAGGTGGGAAGCCTTGTCCTAAAGCTCTGAGCAGGCTCTAAGTGTTTCCATGGTAACTGGAAGGGGAGTACCTTCCTTAATTCCTATGACCTGTCCTGTAAACTCTGAGAACAAGGCCTCACCCATTTCACTTATTGCCCATCTATTCTACTGTCCCACCTCCTGTCCTACCATGTTAAGGATGCCTTTACTCATCGGCATCACCCAGCCTTCCGTTTCCATGGGAACCCTCCTTACAGTCCAGAAAGCTACTCCCTTCCAAGAATCTACCAGGTCAGTAGGAGTTCTAATTCCTGTGTGACCATGGGCAGCCTCTGTCCTCCTCTGGGCCAGTGAGGAGGGAAATCAGTACCTAGTCCAGCCTGAGCAGTAGAGTCTGGGAAACGGCCAGCATTCCAGCAGCTGGGCCGGCCAGTGCTGAGGTGAGATTAGAGACACAGCTGCAAGTGCTGACAAAGAGAATTTCCCTCCACATGTGTCTTTCAAGGGGCAGTTTTGGGGATGGTATCCATAGTCTCCTGACAAGGTGTGTTTCCATATCGCTCACGGAAGAAGACAGGCTCACAGGGGAGGAAGAGCTGCCCCACTGCCCAGGAGGGCTCCTCAGGCTGAAAGCTACTGTTATTTATTTATTTTGACATTTTATTGGAGTATAGTTGATTTACAATGTTGTGTTAGTTTCAGGTGTACAGGAAAGTGATTCAGTTATACATATATATATTCATTCTTTTTCAGATTCTTTTCTCATATAGGTCATCACAGAATATTGAGTAGAGTTCCCTGTGTTATACAGTAGGTCCTTGTTGGTTATCTATTTTATATATAGTAGTGTGTGTATGTTAATCCCAAGCTCCTGATTTATCCTTCCCCCCAGTGTTTCCCCTTTGGTAACCATAAGTTTGTTTATCAACCAACGATATGTTTACCTTCCTCTTCCTCTTTCATGCTGTCTCCTGCCTGGAAGCCTGGCCTCTCTCCCGCTGATGCCTCACTCCCCTGAGATGCTTGGGGTTCCAAGAGACTTTCTTTAACCAGGAAGCGGAAGCCATTTCCCTAGACAGATGTCACTCCCTCTGGTTGGGGTCTTGGCATTGGTCCGTATGTGTGCCTCTATATGTCTATAATTTAAGCCCAGGCTAGGGAGCAGGGGATGGTCAGGAGGCAGGCCTTCCCCAGGTCCAGTGGTTCTGGTTCATCTTGGTTCCAGCCCTGGCAAAGCTGAGAAGGTCCCTGGCCTGATGTCCAGGGCCTGGGCCTACTTACACATCCTCGGGCTAGTGAAGTTGTGGTGAGGCTGGCATTGTTCTTCCCTCCCAAATCTCTGCCTCTGTCCAGGCCTGCGACCCTAGATTCCCAAAGAGCAGGGCTGACGTGCCTTTGGAGAGGTGAAGAATTGGGGATGGGCTGAGCCCACTGCCTGGGTCTCCAGCTTCCCGGTACCGCTCTTTGCTGTCCAGTGAGTTCTAGTTGGAGCCAGGGTTCCCAACAGGCATACTGGGCCCTCTGGAGAAGCCCAGAGTCTGTGCCATTGTGGCGGCAGACTGAGGGGGTGCCCACACCCACCTCACCACAGACTGCAGCCTAGAATCTCAGCCCCAGACAGAGCTGAGCACCCTTAATTTTATCTTGGTCCAGAGAGGGTGAGGGACTTGCCAGAATCAACAGCGAGAGAGTAACTGAGGCCCAGCCAGGGTCGGGGCTCCTTCCCAGCCCCCCTGTAGATCTACATCAGGGGCCTGTGAGGAACTCCAGGAAGGACAGTGGTGGCCTGGGGGACCCTCCCTGCCATCCAGGACTGATGTTTGTCTGGTCCATACCAGCATAAACTTACTAGATATTAAAGTATTGAAATTCCCCCATGCCAATTAATAAATAGCTCCTGCCCTGAGTCCTCTGAGTGCCCCCTGTTCCCTGGGACACCTCCCAGACCTTCCGTCAAAGCAGCAACTAAAAGGGAAACCCTGGCACAGGCTGGGGCCTTCAGAGCCCTACTCAGAGCAAAAGCCACTATCCATTCTTACTGGCCCGTTTTGAAATATTCTGAATATTAGCCCTCGTTAGCCGGCCCCCGAGTCCTAGGTGAGGCAAGCAGGGCAAGGATAGCCTGAGATAGCCCTCTCCTGGCCCCCAGGCAGCTGAGGCAGGTGTCAGGGCCCTATTACCTAGACGAATGCAGACAATGCTTCCCTTTCTCTGCCCAGGGATCGCAGCCGCCACCATCTTCAGCCCCAGCAGGGATGTGGCTGTCTCCCAGAGTCAGCTGCGGGTGGCCTTCGATGGGGATGCTGTGCTCTTCTCAGATGAGTCGGAACGCATCGTGAAGGCCCACGGGCTGGACAGGTTCTTCGAGCATGAGAAGGTCCACGAGAACAAACCTTTGGCCCAGGTGCTCCACACACTCCCCAGAACCCTTGGGTGGAGCAAGGAAGCTCCCCAGAACCTGTCCTTGGCTGGAACCTCCAGCCCAGAACCAAACCCCAAGCTCAGCCCAGAATCCATCCAGGTCCCCTCCCTAGGTCTCAAGCCTTCCTCCCTCTCACCTGACCCCTGGGTCCCCTCAGCGAGCTTCTGCCTCTTCTTTGAGCTCCCACCTCTCTCACTGCATTCCCATCCCCCCTTTGAAGCCCACATTCTCTCTCTAAGCCCCTCTCTGAAGCCCCTACGTCTTCTTTGCAGCTCCGTTATGAGGTCTCCATCCCCATCGCTTCTCGGCCTTTTGGCTAAAATCAAGTGTAGGTCTCTATCCCCTTCCTGAAACCCCCATCCTCCCTCTAAGCTCCCAGCTCCTCTCTGAAGACTCCATCCTCTTTCTGAGGTCTCCATCCCATCTCTAAAAAGTCCCCATCCCGCTCTGAAGGCCTCATGCTCTCTCTCTGAAGCTGCCATCCTCTCTCTGGAATGCTTGTCCCTCTGAGAGATTCTCCCACTCCTCTGAGAGGGATCCCATCCTCCCAAGAAGTCCCTGCTTCCCTCACTGGCACCCTTCATTGGGGCAAAGGAGATCCAGCTAGTGTGGGGTCTGGGCAGCCCATCTGCTTTGGGCCACACCAGCCCTTCACACCTCCTGCCAGCCATTCCTTGGCCAGGGGCTCAGAGACCCTCACTCACCCTTAAACTGCTCAGAGTGCCACTGAGAGCAGAATACGCCCTAGAGCTGGTGGAAATTCCCTGGGGTTGGAGCTACTGGCATTCTCCAGCCCTCCAGGGAGCTCCTATCTGTGCTTTTAACAAAAATCCGGGTGCTCAATAACCCCAAAGCCTCTCTCTCCAAGAGCTCAGGAGGCTTCAGCTATAACTCCAGAGTAATCATTTCACTTTCTCTCTTGTTGGTTCCTTCTGAAATCCCTGAGAATCCAGAGCGGGACAGTTTTTCTGCTAAGTGGTAGGCAGAGCCCCAGGAGACCACTGCTTGCCCCAGGTCACCCAGCAAGTGAGGGGTCTCCAAGATCAGAAACCCACCTTTCCTGATTTCCAGCTGCGTTACAGTTTTCCTCTTCATCATCCTCTGGTCCTTTATTCACACCTCCTCATGAAGCTTCATTTCTCCAGGCACGGTAAAGAGTAAATCCTTTCCCTGACCCTACAGAGCTGGAGCGCGACACCCTGAGCCACTCATCTGCCCCAGGGGCAGGGTTGATATTGGGCAGTGACACATTGGTCTGTCTGTCCCAGCTAAAGTCCATTCTGATTGAAGGGTGCCCATGCCATAGTTACTAAATATTCTTAATATCCTCCCTGCTGATGAGCACAAAGGCCACACTTAACGGAGTTGCTGGACAGACACTCGTGTACCTGGTGGGCTGCTATAGTAACAGCCCTGGTATGGTTTTTCTGACTCAGACATCCCCAATCACAGCAGTCTGGACACCTAGACTGCCATAGGGACCTACAGTCCAATTGATGCATGCAGTGGCACGAGCAGGCGTAGCAGAACTGAGAGGTTTAGAGATCCTGAGAAGCTTTCCCACCCCAAACAGCAAGATCCTAGTGTTATAGGTAGGAGCTCAGCCGGGGAGGGGGCAAATGTTTGGGGGATGGGTGAGCTCACAGTGTGCCTTTGCCTTCTCATAGGGCCCCTTAAAGGGTTTTCTGGAGGCTCTGGGTAGGCTGCAAAAGAAGTTCTGCTCCAAGGGGCTGCGGCTGGAGTGTCCAATCCGCACCTACTTGGTGACGGCACGCAGTGCAGCCAGTTCTGGAGCCCGGGCTCTCAAGACCCTGCGCAGCTGGGGCCTGGAGACAGATGAGGCCCTGTTCCTTGCGGGAGCGCCCAAGGGCCCCCTCCTGGAGAAGATCCGCCCACATATCTTCTTTGATGACCAGATGTTCCACGTGGCTGGGGCTCAGGAGATGGGCACAGTGGCCGCCCACGTGCCTTACGGTGTGGCGCAGACACCCCAGCGGACCACACCCACGAAGCAAGCCGCATCTGCACTGTAGCTGAACCACCAGCTCTGCTGAGCCACATTGCTCCAGGCATGGCTCCATGTCATACACGTCGCCCAATGGACCCTTCTAGTTCCTCACCACTCTGCCCTTCTGCATGTCCGCCCTCGTCCCTGTGAGTCAAATTGGTCCGGCATTCTCACCAGCTCCCCTTCGGGCAAACACTGTGCCATGATCCTGGCTCAGAAAGTAAGACTGTGCAGAAAAGCTGGGTTTCAGGGGGAAGTTGATGGGACTAAGGGTGAGAGGGTCAGAGCAGCAGAATGCCTCAAAAGGAGCTTATGAAACTAGCTCAGTGTAGTACAAAGAACACTGCTTTGAGAGACATGGGATCTGGCTTCTAAGCTTTGTCCTGGCATTGTGCATGACTTTAAGTTCCCTTGCAAGGGACTCTAGGTTGAGGTGACTTCCCCCTGTGGTGCACTGGTGAACTCTCCATCCTTGCAGGAGCCCCTGCAGCCCCTTTGTCACCACTTCCAGGGAAGAACTCTCACTGCGTGATGAGTCAGTTTCCCCATCTTTTAGGGGGTTTTCAAACTCTCCTTTAACTAAAGAAGCTTGGTTTTATAAGATTGCCCTCTTTGAAGGAAGGATTCTGAGCCAGGGCTTCTCCTGATATATATGGTACCTTTGTACAAATTATAGAAGGACACTGTCTCTAGAATGAATTGTGAAAAGACGGCCCTTCCTCTGGACTGACCCAGACCACGCTGGGGCACACAGCTTGGTTAGCAGGATATAGGCTGGATTTTGGCCCCTACCAGCTCCTCAGCCCAGAGGCCTTTGTCAAATGGGCAAGGCACACTATCATCCACAGCAACCTTCCCTATAATTTTACACGTTTGGAAACCACTGGATGAGATGACCTGTCTACTTCCTGCGATGCCTTAATCTGAGTCATCAAGGGTCAGCTGCCAGGTGCAGGGTTTGTGGAAGGAGGGAGCGAGTGAATTTAACCTGCATGCAGACTCTCATCTGGCCAGCAGGGGGCACTGCAGGCCCTCCCTGGGAAGGCGCTTTACTAGGCCTGCTCAGTGCTTCCTTCGCTTTTGCTTTTTAGCCAGTTAATTTGTTCTTGCCTATCAACCCCTTCACCTCAACCCTCACTCCCTCAATGACTGTGTCCTACTCTGCTTGCCAAGCAACCCTGGTGGGGGGAAGAGGTGGAGAATTGGTGTTTACTGTTGTGAGCTCAAATGCAAGGGGAGAAACCTTAGGGGCTGAAGTGGGAGGTGGTCCAGGCTGAGCCCAAGGGAAGGCCTGCCTGGAGTGATATAGGAAATGTGGGGAGGTCAGGTCTGATGCAGTGACTGGTTAGAGAGGAAGGAGCTGCAGTGTGCATTAGCAAGATTCTCCAGCTATGGGATTGTGATTCGAGGTAGCAAGCTCTTCGTCACTAGGATGCTGTCAAAGGGACTCCAGGATGAGGTGACCTCCACCTGCGGTGCACTGGTGAACTCTCCATCCTTGCAGGAGCCCCTGCAGCCTCTTTGTCACCACTTCCAGGGAAGAACTCTCACTGCTTGATGAGTCAGCCTCCTTGTTTGCTGACCAGCTTGGCTTTCTCCAGAGAGAGGGTGGGACCTAGTAAGGCTGGTCCCTCAGGAAGACCCAGAAGGGGTGAGGAGACGTCAGTGGCGGGGACTGATTGCCCAGCTTCCCGGGTGAATCCCAGCTGTGAGCAAGCACTTTATGAAGAAAGCCAAAGGTGTCATCGGAGGTGTGTGCGGGGGGGCTGGAACACTTCTGGGGGCAGGAAAAGGGGTGACAGGCCACGTGAGGCCTGACCTTTATCCTTTTGAGGACTCAGCCCAGGGTCTGAATGGGCACAGGTTCTGGGCAGTGGAGGGCAGGATCGTAATGTCAGAAAGATAACGCAGGAGGGAGAACAAAGTCAGAAGACTGAGGTGGTTCTGGAAATGAGCAACTGTTTGGGTGAGAAGAGAGTCCTGGGCTGGGCTTGTCCTGTCAGTGCTGGAGCAGCTGAGAGGCTGGCCGTGGGGAGGAAGGGCAAGGCTGTGCTGGGTGTCTGGGCACCACCAGGGGACGGGCAGTTGACGAGGATGTCCTTGCACAGTGTCATCCCATCAACAGCCAGGATCCTTCTGGCCAACAGAGGAGGCCTCAGGGCAGAGGGTCTGGTTTGGAGCTCTTTCCTCTGCCGAAGCTCCCAGCCCAGCCAGAGATACTGTGAGACCTAAGGACAGCCTCCAGGAAACCAAAAGGAAGTGAGAGAAGGAACTCAATCCCAGTCAGTCTTGATCTTGGCCGAACCACACAAAGGCCTGCTTCTCCTTCCTCTGGGGTCAGAATCACCCCTTGGGGGAGCCTCCATGGCTCACAGAGCCAGCTGGTAGCCATGAGAAGCCTGCAAGGCTGGGCACAGTCGAGGCCCACTTCATGGCACTAGGCTGTGTGACCAGGGTGGACACTGCACTGCGAGGGCAGCACCAGGTGTCACCTAATTGAGATGCACTGAGGGATGCTGAGACCCCCAGGGCCTCACAATAAACGCCCCTGATTCTTCCAGGTCTCTCAGGAAGCAGGAAAACGTGATGTGGGAAGCAGCAAGATAATGCACCGTAAAAGCTGTGTATTTCACTGGAGCACTGTTAATAGACTTGGACAGCCCTCAGCGATGAGAGACACTAGGGTCCCAATTCTATTACTGAAACCATAAAAGAGCATTTCAGGCCTGGAAAAAAGCTTTCAGTGTCTGGAATAAAAGGCCAGAAGTCCTGGGGGCAGGCTTAGACAGCTGCCAGACACACCTTCTGATTGTTTCAAGGGATGAGGAGGTGTCCTGGGGAGAACATCGCTTATTGTATCAGCAGGCAAATTAAAAAGTCACGCGAGCACCAAAGCCCCAGGCCCAGCCATGGACTGCAGCCCTGGGCCCGAGGAGCCACAGCTCCTGACATGCAGAACCCCTGGAGCCCAAAGGACGGCACCCCAACAGCGCCTGCAGAGCACGTCCCAGGAAATTCTTGCCAGCCAAGTCCCAGACCCAATGGAAACTGCCACTTAGCAAAACAGAAGCCCTGTTACTATGCACTGAGATTGCCAAGGTCACTGCAAAGCAGCCCTCTCTGCTTTCTGAGAGCCCAATCAGAATGATGGGGATGTAGCAGAAGAAGCTGAAACCAGCAAGAAGTGAAAATCCAAGCTGGATCCAGCATCATAATGATACTCAACTGGTGTGCACCAGTCCAGCTAAACTGGTGATTAAAATATTGAAATGCCTCCATAACGGTTGTAAATAGCGCTGGCCTGAGCCCCTGACTTCCCCCTCCCCATGGCCTCAGCTGCCCTGGCCCCTTCGTCTCTTCACGATCCAGCAAACAGAGGCTCCGGGAGTCTGTGCCAGCATGATGGCCAGTGTCCACTCTGTTTGGGGATCCCCTGGCCATGCTGGCTTGGAGAGGTTAAGTAAGTTGCCCAAAGTCACACAGCTGGTAAGTGGCAGTGGGAGGACTCAAGCTCATGTCTGTCTGATGCTGGGACTCAGGCCCTTAACTCTTTTGCCATATGGCCAATACGTGCATAGACGTAGCAAGAGAAGCTTCATAGCAATGGCGTTCCCTTGACAGTCTGTTAACATGTTGACCCCCTGCATGTTAAGATACTATAATAGACTTGAGAGGGTACATCTTTGTTGTAGCTTTCTAAATAGCTAAGAGGAATTTAAACTAGGGCCAAACATTTGCAGATCTTCTAAAGCACTTCCAGACAACCCCAAGTTCTGTAGAACCCAGTTCTTATTGGGCTAATGCGGGGTTTGGCAAACGCAGCTCCTTGGCCAAATATAGCCCACCACGTTTTTGCAAAGAAACTTTTATTGGAATACAGTCATGCCCATTTGTTTACATCTGTCTTCAGCTTTCAAACTATAGCAATGGAGTAGAATTGTTTCAACAGTGACCAAGGAGCTGAAAATATTGGGTCGGCCAAAAAGATCGTTCGGGTTTTTCATTTCCATCCTACGAAAAAACCGAATGAACTTTTTGGCCGACCCAATATTGCTCTGGCTGTTTGCAGAAAGAGTTTGCTGACCCCTGGGTTAAGGCAAACATCCCTGGCCCGCTCCTCAGTGGGAGAGTCCTGCTTACATCCACCTAAGCATTCGGAGGTAGAGGCTGGCTCGTTCGCAGAGGGGGCAGCACGAGGCATCTCTGTGCCCATCTGCAGGCATCGTCAGGGATGGCAGGCACTAACTGAGAACCTTGATGCTAAACCCAGCAGACCCTTGGCATCTGAGGATTGAAGATTTCAAAGTTTGACTATTTTCAAGTGACCCATGGCCTGTTGTAATTTGGAATGTTGATGCACACATTTGATTTTAGTGTGCTCTCCCAAGCTGCTGGGTGAGGGGCAGGGAGCAAGACCCCTGGCTAGGGCTGAGCCCAGCTGGCTGGCCTCTGCTCAGCACGGCTATGTTGTTCTCAGCTCATCATTGCCTTTGAGGGACCTCTTGAGAAGTAATAAGTGCTGGTAGATGGATGGGCCTTAGGTAAATATTAATTTTGGGTAAAGTGAAGTGCCCCATGTTGACTTAAGGACCCAGATCTAACAAGTCGTCCGTATGCTCTCTGTAGCACCAAGAACAAGCTCTTCACGAAGATGGTCCCAGTGAGGACTTTAGCTGTCTCAGAAGTTACTGACCAAGTGAGAGAGAAAACGCCAGTGAAAGTTGGAATGACAGTTTTCTTGTGGTATTAGGGAGTGAGCAACAAACACGCATACCCTTATGATGGAATTGTGTATCAGGAGAAATCTGCCGATGTAGGGAATGGCAAGGGTAGATGTGGTCCTACCTACTGCCCTGGTTGCTGGCACTGTTCCATTGGCCTCAGAGTACTTCCACGCTAAGCCCAGACTTGGCCTCAGAATCCTTCTCAACCCAGCATTCCAGGCAGCTACTACCAGTGGGTTGGAGTTGGCATGAAAGATGAAAAACCTATGTTGCCATCCCTATTGGTGTTGGATATTACTTT